ATAGGAGCTAGAGAAGTGATCAAGAGTAGACCCTAATAAGTGTACTTATTTGAAATCAAGTTTTTAAAAACTGAAGGCAAAAGAAAGAGAAAATCTCCACAATCCGTAGCAGCACCCATAGGACACTGTTTTGAACATAAGCCTTTGCTGTTTTAGACAATTATATAGTTTTTTAACCATTCAGTTCCACTAAATTCTCATGAAGTATGTGGCTTAGCACCTGAATGTTATTAACAGTGCTAAGCGAACTTATTTGGGTTCCTACTTAGTTCCATGCTGTGTGCTAAGTGCTTTAAAGGCAGTTGTTCAGAACAATACTATGAGAAAAGTACTATTATTATCTACATACAAATGAAGAAACTGAGGTTTAGATTACATACAAAGTCACATAGCTAGCGTTTAGCAGAATTGGAACCTAAAAATTGTGCTCTCTTAACCTCCAAATTATTCTTTTGCCTCCATGTTATTCTGTTGTAGACCTGGGAAAAGCATTAACAGGAAAACAGAAAACGTTAGTTTTTTTTTTTAGGTTGGTTTCTGCCATCGACCAAAATCTCTAGTCACTAAAGAGAAAAGATTCTTAAGATATAGCTAGTTAAAGGCCAGAACAAAATGTCTTAAGTCCAGTCATTCTTGGAAAGGGAAACAATTTTCCATTTGTATCTGAATTCAGAATTTACCATTAGGCTAAAGTCTGTTTTTAAAACAACAAAGGCTTATGGATTAGAAACAAGAAAGCAAACAATACCTGTATGTGTAATTAGTTCTACTGTATGGTGAACAAATATCAATCTTGAGAATCTAATATACGTTGCAGTGTACCATGCTATGCCCTGAAGTTTTCTAAGGCTGAATATAAAACACAACTATTTTGCCTCTATTTGATTTATTGTTTACTTTTCTCAAAGTGCTTATTTTGTAAGTTATACTCATAGAAAATATCAGAAACATTCTTACCACCGAATTTGCTCTTAAAAGTGTATAGAACCTTCCATTGAATTTTGGAGACCAAGACATTTAAACACATAGCAGTGCTGATGGTATCCTTGAGTCCAGATCAAGCAAGCTTTATAGTAACTAGGTATTAGCTGGTCTTTCAAGGCTTTATGATATAAGTACTTCCAAACTTCATTCAGTGATATTTTTTTTTAAATAGATTTTATTGATTTTTTACAGAGAGGAAGGGAGAGAGATAGAGAGTTAGAAACATCGATGAGAGAGAAACATCGATCAGCTGCCTCCTGCACATCTCCCACCGGGGATGTGCCCGCAACCCAGGCACATGCCCCCGACCGGAATCGAACCTGGGACCTTTCAGTCCGCAGGCCGACGCTCCATCCACTGAGCCAAACCGGTTTCGGCCATTCAGTGATATTTTTAAAAAATTGATCTTAGAGGAAAGGATGGAGGGGGAGAGAGAGAGAGAGATCAGTGTGAGAGAGAAACATGGTGATCGAACTCAAAACCTGGGTATGTGCCCTGACTGGGAATCGAACTCACCACCTTTTGGTGTATGGGACAGTGCTCCAACCAACTGAGCCACCCTGGCCAGGGCAGTGATTTTTATTTTTATTTTTTTATCTAAAACACCTTTTTGTTTAGTAATCTCTTTCCTTCCTCTTTTAAAGCTTGATAGACTTGTGTTTTACTTGTGGCACTTTTTGCCAGGTGTATAACCTGGAATAAATAATTTAACTTTTCCCAGCATCTACCTCTTGTATGTAAAATAGGAATAATAATTTCTACCTTCCATGGAAGTTGTCAAAATTAGAAGTGATGCAGATACAGTGCTTAACATATAGGAGTACTCAATGCTAGGTAGCACTTAAAATTGTCTTTTCTATAGATTTGTTTAGTTAACCAGATATTCATCAACACATTTAGTTTATCTAAATTTATATCTAGTAAAGACAACCAATATTTATATCTGGTAAAAATAATTAAATCTAAAGAGTGGCCACAGAGTCCCTATGCGTAGTCTTCTCAATTCTCTATACAAATCTTTTATTTTTCTCCTTGTTTTTCCAGATAGCTTCTTTGTTGTCTGTTGGAATCATTAAATCAGTTCCCGACCTGGCCGGTTGCTCAGTGGTTAGAGCATCCGCCAGAGGACAGAAGGGTTGCAGTTTTGAGTCCCAGTCAAGGGCACATACCTCAGTTGCAGGTTCGATAACCAGCCCTGGTTGGTTGGAGCGACTGTGGGAGGCAAATAGTCGGTGTGTGTCTCTCCCATCAATGTTCCTCTCTCATTCTTTCCCTCCCTTCCCCTACCACTCTTTCTCTAAAGATCAATGAAAAAATCTTTGGCCCTAGCTGGTTTGACTCAGTGGATAGAGTGTCAGCCTGCGGACTCAAGGGTCCCAGGTTTGATTCCGGTCAAGGGCATGTACCTTGGTTGCGGGCACATCCCCAGTAGGGAGTGTGCAGAAGGCGGCTGATCGATGTTTCTCTCTCATCGATGTTTCTAATTCTCTATCCCTCTCCCTTCCTCTCTGTAAAAAATCAATAAAATATATTTTAAAAAAGAAAAAAAGAAAGAAAAAATATCTTTGGGTGAGGATTTAAAAAAAAAAATCAGTTCCTGATATCTAAACACCTCACCTAGAAGAAAATGTAAAACAAGTAATTAACAGAGGACACAATCTCATGCATAAGAACTTAGTGGCCACTCTGCCTACTTGTGATAAGTGTCATGAGTGAGAAGTACAGGATGGCATAGGAACATAAATAGGGAAACTGACATCCTGGGGTTCAGTAAGTACTAACTGCTTTAACTAAACTTGTAGGGTGAAGAGGCTGGGGTTCAGTAAGTACTAACTGCTTTAACTAAACTTGTAGGGTGAAGAGGCATTAGCCAGGTGAGTAAGAAAACTTCCTAGGCAGAAAGAACTACGCATACAAATCTATTGGAGCAAAAAGTATGACACATTCTAAGAACTGAAAGAAGATAGTAAGACTTTAGTGTAAAGAAAGAGTTATTTTTTTAAAATATATTTCTGTTGATTTCAGAGAGGAAGGGAGAGGAAGAGAGAGATAGAAACATCAATGATGAGAGAGAATCATTGATCGGCTGCCTCCTGCATGCCCTACATTGGAAATCGAGCCCGCAACCCAGCCTGACCAGGAATATTGGTTCCTGGATCAACGCTCAACCACTGAGTCACACCGACTGGGCTAGGATGAGTTATTTTATTTTATTTTTTAATATTTTATTGATTTTTTTTTACAGAGAGGAAGGGAGAGGGATAGAGAGTTAGAAACGTCCATGAGAGATAAACATCGATCAGCTGCTTCCTGCACACCCCTCACTGGGGATGTGCCCGCAACCCAGGTACATGCCCTTGACCAGAATCGAACCTGGGACCCTGGAGTCCGCAGGCCAACACTCTAACCACTGAGCCAAACCAGTTAGGGCAGGATGAGTTATTTTAGATGAGGCTAGAAAGCTCAGCAGGGGTCAGAGCACACAGGAGCCCTTAGCCCTTATTAAAGAGCCTACTAGCCCATATCCTAAGAGAACAGGAAAGCTATTGAAGGATTTTAGGCAAGAGAGCCAGTGACTAACATCCTCTACACATAAAAATAAGCAAATTGGGCTCTGTATTGCTATAGCTCTCAATCAGTTTTTATAGCTCTCAAACTATAGCCCTAGACCAGTTTTTGTATGGCCTAAATGCTAAAAATAGTTTTTACATTTTTTAAGAATTTAAAAAAAAATGAAAGGACAACATGGAACAAACAGAGAGAGCTCATGTGGCTTGTAAGCCTAAAATATGTATTTACTATCTGGCCTGACTCTAAACCAGCGGTTCTCAACCTGTGGGTCGCGACCCCTTTGGGGGCCGAATGACCCTTTCACAGGGGTTGCCTAAGACCATCAGAAAACACATATGTAATTACATATTGTTTTTGTGATTAATCACTATGCTTTAATTATGTTCAATTTGTAACAATGAAATCGGGGGTCACTCCAACATGAGGAACTGTATTAAAGGGTCAAGGCATTAGGAAGGTTGAGAACCACTGCTCTAAACCATTCTTTGAATGCTGGGACTTCGCATTGCTTAAACTGTTTAGGAAGTTTGCTTTTGAGAGTAAAGGCAGAAAAAGAGAGTGAAGTAAGAGTGATGGTATTGGTCTTTACTCTCAGCATATTTAGTAATAATGCACCTGGTAAATAACTATGATACAGTCTTGCATTTTCTGTCTTCACTGGCAAACACTTGCAACAAAGAAAATACAGGTCAAAAGGACATTAGCAGACCTTTGCAATTACTGTTGTTTGCCATGGGGGGAAATGGCACGGAGAATTGTTCTTTGCTTCTGCCCGCCAAAGTGATAAGAGGAAGTACCGGTAGATTTGAATGTGAAGTTAGCAGTTCACTCACTCTTCAACAACGCTTCGGCTTCCCTACTGAGTTTCTTTTAAACCCATGGTTCTAAAGAGGACACCATAGGACATATGTTTTCAAAGCACTATATGCCTGTATTTATTTTTTAAATATTTTTTTTATTAATTTCAAAGAGGAAGGAGGAGGGAGAAGGAGATAGAAACATCAATGATGAGAGAGTATCATAGATTGGCTGCCTTCTGCATGCTCCACACTGGGGATCCAGCCCACAACCCGGTCGTGTGCCCTGACTGGGAATCGAACCCAAGACCTCATGGTTCATAGGTCGATGCTCAACCACTGAGCCACGCTAGCCAGGGCTATATACCTGTATTTTAAAATGGTCGTTCATGTTCAGTAAAATAATTAATACTCTTGAATTTTAGATAATAGGAGAATTATAATTAGATAATAACAAATAAAACAGTGATTTATTCCAGATTTTCAGCTTGTATCAAAGAGATAAACAAACTCCAATTTGAATTTTTATATCAAAATGCAAATATAATTTTTATAAATTGGATTTTTAGAAACCATCCTGTGATACAAAGAGCCAACATTTGCATTCTGGTTGTAGAAGTGTATAGAATAATGTCAGTCTTTTTTCATCAGTGACTACAGGAGCCCTTTATTTCTGTAATAACAAGTTGTTCCTTGATCATTTTTTTTTTTCGATTTTTTAGATGATGTTGATAGTCTGTGTGCAATGAGGAAGAAGAGTATTTCAGGCAGTTTCATTTAATATCATTTCCTAATTGATGTTTATATGCCAGCTGGCAATCTCCCAGGATCTAACTGCTAAACATCAATCTTTTCATGAAGCTATTAGCTAAGTGGGTAGAGTTCAACTCCATTGACACATGCAGTTAGATACTTTTTAAAATAAAGCTATTTGTAAATAAGTTTTTAGCTCTTGACTTGGAGATTTGGTGTGTACTCGTTAGGGACAAAGTGACAGTTTCAAGTACTGAAGTTTAAAATAACATGCACATATGAAAACACTGACCAAATAAAATATTTACAGAATATCCACATAAAATTGGAGACTAACTTAACCGGTTACTCTTTTTATAGCTGAATTATATAAACTGTGCAGATGATTATAAACTGTTTTCTTTTCCTTCTTATAGCTCGTAGAGACTTCATTAAAAGGAGAAATTGCCTTTGATCCCAGAAGCGCCTATTACTTGTGGTTTGTAATGGATTTTTGTGATGGAGGAGATATGAATGAGTATCTGTTGTCCAGGAAACCCAATCGTAAAACTAACACCAGCTTCATGCTTCAGCTGAGCAGTGCCCTGGCTTTCTTGCATAAAAACCAGATCATCCATCGAGATCTTAAACCTGATAACATCTTGATTTCTCAAAGCAGGTTGGATACCAGTGACTTGGAACCCACACTGAAAGTGGCTGATTTTGGTCTAAGTAAAGTGTGTTCAGCCTCTGGGCAGAACCCAGAAGAACCTGTCAGTGTAAACAAGTGTTTCCTTTCCACAGCCTGTGGAACAGATTTCTACATGGCTCCTGAAGTATGGGAGGGACATTACACAGCCAAGGCTGACATCTTTGCTCTGGGGATTATCATCTGGGCAATGCTGGAAAGAATCACATTCATAGACACAGAGACAAAGAAGGAACTCTTGGGGAGTTATGTGAAACAAGGAACTGAGATTGTGCCTGTTGGGGAGGCACTTCTGGAAAATCCCAAAATGGAACTTCTTATTCCTGTGAAGAAAAAGTCTATGAATGGGCGAATGAAACAACTGATTAAGGAAATGCTGGCTGCAAACCCTCAGGATCGTCCAGATGCTTTTGAACTAGAACTCAGATTAGTACAAATTGCATTTAAAGATAGCAGCTGGGAAACGTGACACATACATTATTTGCAAATATCTTGGATGATATGCTGCTTCTGTTTTCACAGTAATGCAACATAATGTGGCTGAAAAAGAATATAAAAAGCTGAACCTCACCTTCTAAGGGTTTAGAATTTATTGTGGGATGTTTTTTTCCTCATTTTTCTTAAGTCTGAGCTGGCCACTTTGTTCGTATGTTTTAAATGTATTACCAATGTGGGTGTAAATTTTTTTTTTTTTTAATGATCATTGGTAGAAGTTTGGCAGGAAAATTCTCTTAAGAGCCAAGAAGAAAAGATAATCCAGTTTTCTGGAAATATGTCTCTAAGTATTTTAGACATTCCTTGTCAGTATTAGCAATTTCCATGGAAGAAGAGGTTTGCGTGCTGGTAATGCAACCTTTGAAGCTTTGTAAAGGAAGCATATATGTATATATTTATGTATATGTAAGTATGTGAATGTGTGCATTTTGCATTCTATATGAAGAAAATGCCACTTCTGTTTAAATTATTTGATGTAGGTTTGGGTTTTTGAGATTTGCTGGTGAAATCAGTGATGAAAAATAATAGAATCTTCATCTTCCTACCCCATCCCTCCCTCTAATGAAATCATACTAAGTTCTTTATTTTTATAATTATACAGTTTTTTTAAAGGCATCATTTTGGAGGGCCTAAAATCCGATTAAACATAAATGAAACTAAGTGATCAAAGCTGCCGAATATGTTTGAGCTCTCCAGTGCCCTATAGCTGCAGGAGTAGAACTAGCCATGCAGTTGTGTGGTAGCAGGTTGGCAAGGATATTGATTCAGTCATACCTTCGTTAGGTAACCAAGCATTCAATTAATCAAACCACTGCATTGGGACATGTTTGCACTTGAGCATCTGCAATCTGAACACAGGATTCTTCTATTTCTGAGATCATTGCTATATATATGTACTATAGTACTTGATATATTCTTTTTTTATTTCAAGAATTTGTCTAAGCCTCAGCATAAAATTGAAGAAACCAAATGAGCTCTATCCTCACATTACCTACCTTGAATCGTCTCTTGTTTCATCACTGGAATTCCTTTCATTTTGTACTAATGCTGTTTTCTCTTCTAATTTGACACAGTAATGGTAGTAATATAGTTGTATTAAATGTTGATCACCTTTTCTAACGGAGATGATACCTATATAGTTTGGCAAATGGATAATATATTGTGACATCAACTATATCTTTCAAGTAGAAAAGTTATAGATTTTATACAATCATTGGTATGGTCTATGTCAAAAACCAGTAGACCATTATTCCTCTTGAAGTCAATTTGATTTTAACTCTACATGGTTGTCTCCAGTTTTTCTGTAAAAGCAGATAGTTAATATCTAAGGAAAGAAAATTTTCCTGAAACAGAACATTAGCCTTCAAGGTTAGAGACCTTAAGACCGTATCTAGGTTGATGTTTATAAAGCACTAGAACCTTTGGTCAAAAGTATTTTTAAAAGTTGGAATATTGAAATAATTGATAGTTTGCATAATCTCTTCAGATGTTCCTTTCGAAGTTATTCAACTTTTGGAATATTGCTATCAATTTTTTTTCTTATTTAAAATTTGTTCAGGGGACTATAAAAGGTAAAAAAGCACAAAGAAATTAGAGTGTATAAACTTTCTGAACTGTGTGTGTTACTTGATCCAGAAGTTTAAAACTTGGACTAAAAGGTTTTATTGAAATAAAGTCTTTTAAAATGAAGACAAATAATCATTTTAACATCATTTTGAAGATAATAAGAGGTGGAACAATACATTGGCACCTCATGATAATTGACCCTCGAGTCTAGATCATCAAATTAGTATAACAGAGATCTGGCCAAGGGGATTGAGTTACTGGAAGTAAAGAGCAGCATTGTAATGTCTGTCAATAACATGACAGATTCATGACAATTCAGGTGATGGTAAGCTCTTCAAATATCTGTGTGCTTGGAGCCATCCTTTCCGAAGTACAAAGTTTTTGGTCCTTCATTTAAAAAGTTAATGATTATAATTTATTTTGAAAGATTTCACCTGTGAGGTAAAATTCTTTTCTTTCATTGGTGGTAAGGGTGTGAGGTGGTCAGGAAGTTTCTGGAATTTTCTCAAGTCTTTGTATCCTAAAATAGCCTTAGATAACAAGCAAAATGACAGTAAATTCTTTGTCATTATTCTTTCAATCAGGAGGTATTTATTAAGTACCTACTGTGTGCTCAGCACTAAAGATCAGTTGATAAAATGACAATTTTAAAATGGTGTATAGCCATAGGTCTTTTCCAGCCTGGAGTAAGAAATACAAGAGATTAGCAATACTTGAAAATTCTTGGATATTTGCTATAGGAAAAATGAAAGAAAGAATTTGTGCACAGTGCCTTGCCCATAATAGGTACTCAATAAACAATTATTCTTCATAGAGTCTCTTGCCATGATTTTATAGTGTTTTATGAAATCTGTCTTAATTGAAAAAAGACCAAATATTTAAAATAAGCTTGTAGGCAGCTGTGACCAGTTAAAATATGGAGTTGTACAGTTAGTTCCTAGAATGTTATTTTGCACTAGTTGTCACTTAGAAAGATGGGGTTCCTGTAGATTTTTTGGTGCTAAGGGATACTTTATCATTATGATGAAGTACGTGTTAAGTGTCAGATAAATAGCACACTGAATAGTTTTTCTGCTGGTCTGTTTTTTCCTCTTTGTTGTTGTTTTTAACTGTAAAATGTTTATCAAAATATTGTAGCAGCTACAAAATAATTCACCAGCATGACAAAATGGTCAAAAAATAAGTCATCAGCACTTCAAAAATGAAAGCAACTTTTGAAATTTTCTTTTAAAATTGTCAAATATATTTTATGAAGAATTTATAAAAGGGGGGGGAAATGATTGTAATTTATTGTTCATGACTTTTTTTTTTTTAATAAAGTGAGTTTCAACAAAAATCAACCCTGAATATTCTACATTACTGGTTTGGTGGTGGCTGAGTAGTTCCATAGTGCTTTACTTAATGAATGTAATACAGGGTATAAAATTTGAAATGATGTCATTTTCAGCCTTACCTATTAATTAAACTTTCTATAATAGAAGCTATTGCTGAAGGAAATATGATTGAGTTATAAAAGTTCTTTTCAGCATTTCAACTTACCTAAAATTTTAGTGCTTTGTATTTTGCAGAATTTGTCAGAAGACCTTGTATATATATGTATATTATGTGTGTGTGTGTATGTGTATATATATATATTTAAATTTTTTTATTCATTTCAGAGAGGAAGGGAAAGGGAGAGAGAGAGAGAGAGAGAGAGAGAGAGAGAGAGGGAGAGAGAGATAGAAGCATCAGTGATGAGAAAGAATCATTGGTTGGCTGCCTCCTACATGCCCCAACTGGGGATCATGCCTGCAAACAGGCATGTGCCCTTGTCCAGAATTAAACCCAGGACCCTTCAGTCCGCAGGCCGACACTCTATCCACTGAGCCAAACCAGCCAGGGCTATATATTTTTTAATCCTCACCCAAGGACATACTTAGAGAGAGGAAGGGAGAGAGAGAGAAACATCAATCGGTTGCCTTCTGTATACTACCTAACTGGGGATGAAACCTGATGCTCAGGTACCAACTGATGCACTTGGTGGGGCTGAAAAAAAATTTTTTTTCATTTATCTTTCTATTTTATTAAGCTGAGGATGCATCCCAGACTCACAATGAAGGTAAGAAAATGCAGTGTTTCTGTCTATAACTTGAGACCATGGTTTCATTTCCATAAAGTCATCTGGTCCACTTTTTTCTTTCCTTTATAGGTTTTATTATGTATGTCTTCTCCAGAATAAGCAAAGTACTGAGGATACAGTGTACGTGGTGTCCAATGGAACAGCAGAGGGAAAATGGGAGACAGGAACATTAACTTTACATGTGATTAGTGATGAGTAGGAAAGAAGGCATCAGGAATTGTGGCTGCTTCTGACTCTGCCACACTTTCCTGGTATAGACAAGCAAATTTTGCTTTCTATTTAAAGATTAATATTTTAAATTGACTCTTAAACTATAAATATTTGTATTACTAGCCATTTTGTAATCCTTTGCAGTTTACAAAATGACTTCACAAGGTTTTTCATTTCTTTCCAATAGGTTTAACTTAAAACAAGGGCTGATTTGATGAAGAATTTGTTAGTAATAAAACCAGTTACGAGGTAATAGTTTTACCCTACTACAGGGCTTTAGTGCCTAATCTCTGACCCCAGTTGAAGTTTCCTCTAACAACAAAGCTTAACCTTTCTCACTGAAGTAATAACCTGTAGTTCTTTGGATCTTTAAATTCAAATGCTGCTCTCTGTTGGCCAATCATAGGTGTCTGCTAAAGTGCAGTGTAATGATAGACAGTTGGTTTGCGGTTAGATAATAACACCTACTTGAGGAAGCCTACTGGCCACACCTCTCCAGGGCAAAGTGCGTCTTTTAAAGGCAGTACTTTCCCTTTTGCAATGAGTTTTCATTGGTTAGAAGGGAATTGTGTGCTTTTTCTCGCGTGTGTGGTGTTTTTTTTTAAAAGATGCCCGGGCTTTTGTTTGACTTCACAATTTCATTTCCTGTTCAGCCCTAGTATTTCAAGCTTGGCTTGTCCTGAACAGACGTTAGGCAACTTGCTATTGCCAAAGGCATCATGCTTAGTAGCAATAGCACATGTTTTGTTGTAGCAAACCTCATATTGAATACTAGCTTTTTCAGACACCTATACAATTAATGTGTGGTATTGGACAAGTCACTTGATTCTGAGCCTTAGTTCCCCTACCTGTGAAATGGAGGTATTTACATTTTGGGGCTTTTGTAAGAGTCAGAGATAATATATATGTCAATGTGAGAAACGTCAAACCTGTAAAATTTTTACAGGTTTATTTGAGCCAAACTGGACATATGCTGAGGAACAAGATCTTAAATGCGCCAGAGAGTAAGTCTTGCAGCTTCTTTTTTTAATATATGTATGTGTGTGTGTGTGTATAGATAGATTGATTGATTGATTGATTGATTGATTGATTTCAGAGAGGAAGGGAAAGGGAGAGAGAGAGAAACATTAATGATGAGAGAGGGAACCATTGATCGGCTGCCTCCTGCATGCCCCACACTGGGGATCGAGCCCGCAATCCAAGCCTGTGCCCTGACTGGGAATTGAACCATGACCTTGTGGTTCATAAGTCAGCATTCTACCACTGAGCCACACCTGTCAACCTTGTTTTGTTTTTTGATCTGGGGGCTGGTTAGACAGGTATATTTATATTGTAAAAATTCATCAAGCTGCACGAACAATTTATATATTTTCCTGCAAGTATGTATACTTCAGTAAAACTTTATTTTAAAAAAAAACATGTATGCACATTGGAGCTGAAGACTACCTCGACACTTGTTTCAGAGGCAGAGGGAAAGGACACAGACTTTGAAATCAGATACTACCTTTCTGTTATTTGCTGTGTGACTTTCATGAGTTTCCTAACCTCTCAAATTCATAGTTCCCACATGTATAAAAGAGAGCTAAGGCCCGGTTGTGGTGGCTCAGTGGACTGAGTGTCGTTCCACAGACCAAGAGGTCCTGGGTTTGATTCCAGTCAGAGCACATGCACAGGTTGCAGGCTTGATCCCCAGTAGGGGTATGCAGGAGGCAGCCAATCACTGATTCTCATCATTGATGCTTTTATCTCTCTCCCTCTCTCTTCCTCTCTGAAATCAATAAAAAATATATTTTAAAAGAGAGATAATACCTGACTCAGCACTATGAAGATGAAATGAGGCGATGCATGTAGAAATGCATGGCACACTGAAATGATTGCTTCTCATTCTCTTTGGAAGACTCATAGGAAATGACTCTGAGCTGCCTTAACTGGTAATAGTAGGTAGGTAGTAGGTCTGCTTGTTTTTAAATTAAATTAGCTTCTATTTTCCACAATTATTTGAAAAATATATTTCCTATATAATAAAAGGGTAATATGCACATGGACCGAACAGCAGAACACTGGTCGCTGTGACACACACTGACCACCAGGGGGGCAGACACTCAACACAGGTGCTGCCCCCTGGTGGTCAGTGCCCACAGAGTGAGCACGGCTCAGCCACAAGCTGGGCTGATGGCTAGCGAGCACAGGGGCCTGCCTCCAAGGCAGTGCTAAGACTGTCCTACTGCAGCTTAGGCCCGCTCCCCGCAACACCACTCCCCCCGCCCCGCCCCGCAGGGCTCCCAGACTGTGAAAAGGCGCAGGCCAGGCTGAGGGACCCCACCCCCACAATGCACAAGTGTTGGGCACCGGGCCTCTAGTATTATTATAATGTTCTGCCTGTCTCTCTGCCCTGTAGCCCTACACAGGTATAGTTCTTTTTAAAAAATATATATTTTATTGATTTTTTTACAGAGAGGAAGGAAGAGGGATAGAGAGTTAGAAACATCGATGAGAGAGAAACATCGGTCAGCTGCCTCCTGCACATCTCCCACTGGGTATGTGCCTGCAACCAAGGTACATGCCCTTGACTGGAATCGAACCTGGGACCCTTGAGTCTGCAGGCCGATGCTCTATCCACTGAGCCAAACCGGTTAGGGCACAGATATAGTTCTTAACTAACAATCTTCTTAGCCCAGTTTTCTTTTCTTTTCCTATTTTCTGAAAACGTGATTGATAATAATTCAGAATCTCTTCCATTCAGCCAGATTTCAAGTGGTTCTGAATGATGTTTGTTCTGTATTTTAGTTGTAATTTTGATGTGGTTGTGGGAGGCAGTGAGTACAGGTGTTTACTTACACTGTCATCTTGGTTCTCTTGCCAGGAACAACATCTTTTAAATACTTAGAGAAAAAAATAATTTATCTAGAACTTTACACCCAGAAAAAAAATGAAGATGAACCCTGGCCGAGTAGCTCAGTTGGTTGGAGTGTTGTCCCAATGTTCCAAGGTTGTGGGTTTGATCCCTGGTCAGGGCACATATAATAGGCAACCAGTGAATGCATAAATGAGTAGAACAGAAAATTGATGTTTAGCCCTAGCCGGCTTGGCTCAGTAGATAGAGCATCAGCCTGTGGACTGAAGGGTCCCAGGTTCGATTCCGGCCAAGGGCACATGCCTGGGTTGCGGGCTCAGTCTCTAGTGGGGTGCGTGCAGGAGGCAGCCGATCAGTGATTCTCTCACATCATTGATGTTTCTATCTCTCTCTCCTTCTCCCTTCCTCTCTGAAACCAATAAATATATATTTTTTAAAAATTGATGTTTAAAAGAAATGAAGAAGATGAACCCAGCTGGTGTGGCTCAGTGGTTGAGCATCATCCCATGGACCAAGATGTCCCTGGTTCACACTTCAACTCAGAAGGGTTAATTGGTCTTTGAGGATGACAGAAGCTTTGCATTTGGAACTCTCCCAGACTATGTCTTATGCGTGTCTGCCTCTGCTTACAATTCTAGAAGATCTGGTTCTCATTTGTATTCTTTTCCTATAATAAAAATGTAATCGTAAAAACAGTATCATTGAAGGTTCTTGGATATTGTGACTATAAGGGAAACTATGTATAACAAAACCAATTTTATCACAGGATAATTGGTATGAACAAGAGTTAAGTTCCTGCAGCACATTTCTGGTTAATGACCCAAAACACTTCTAATATTAAACATTGAAATAAATGAGAGTCTCATATATATTTAAGATGAATAAAACAAGTAAGGTCATTCTTTTCCAACCCACTTATTCTAATTTAGGGTCACAGGTGACCAGAGCCTCTCCAGGCAGTTCAGGGCACAAGGTGGAACCCACCCTGGAGCAGATGCCCTTCCATCACAGCGTACAGTCCCACACACACTCACTCCGACACGGACCATGTAGACACGCCCATTCACCTCACAGGCAAAGCTTTGGGATCCCCAGGAAAAAACTCACGCAGACGTGGGGAGACTATGCAAACTCCATGCAGACAGTGGTCCCTCAGT